TTGCCGGGTAGCATGGCATGGACGATAGCATCGCCTTAAGCCACCTCGCCCCCGACTCTGCGGCCAAGATAATATAGACAAGCAAGGCGAGCGCGGAGTCGGACATCAAAGGCCAAGCCCGAGGAGGAACCCCATCGTGCCCCAAGCCAGTGCGCCATCGGAAGGTCTCGGCTGCGTGCCTTACTTGGTCAACCGAGGGGACTGGCAACGTTGATGGTGCGGGCCGAGCTATATCTCGCAGAACGTCTGGATCCGCATCGCCCATAAAGGCGGCACAGTGTCCAGAATCCCCATCCCCACGACTTGACTCGCCATGATACTGAGAAAGATCTGCAGATCTTGTAACAGATGCACCATCCCAAATGCAAGTCCACATCTCCACCTGACTGTCTGCGATAGCCAGAAGATGGCTAGTGACGTCGCCGTGTCGCTGGACCTGACTGTGCACCCACGCCCTAATGCGCGTAAGATGAAACAGAGGTGCAGGAAAAGATGCGAAAACCTCTCTCGCCCACTTGTGAAAGGAAGCGACCCGTCCTCGCGCCGCTTCTCTCTACTGCGACTCAGCCAACATAGCGGGGCGCGCGGCGACAGCTTCCAGCAGCGTGGACGCGATGCGAGGCGCTTGGGCGCTAGCCCCACGTATGTACGACCACGCTTGATCCAGTAAGAGGTGAGCCTCCTGCGCGCGCACGTCCCGTCGATGTCCAGGTCGTGGGAGGCGACGCAGATGGAGCCAGCGAGCACCCAGGACAGCACCCTTCGACACCTGTAGCGAGGTGTCCCGCAGGGCGAGCGCAACAAGCGCGCAAGTCGCGCGGCTCGCCGCCTGCCGCGGGCACGGGGCCTCGACGAGGACCGCCAATAGGCCTCCAGACATACCTCGTGCCCGAAGCTCTGCCTGCGTAGGAGTTTGGCTGCTGCAGCTGATATGCGCGGGCCGGATAATTCTCCACGTTGGCAACGACATGCATAGATCATCGAGTCCCTGCTGCGACTGGCCCGCGGTGGCGGAGACCCCCATAGCGGCGCCAGCCTCAAACATGTTAAGATGAGCCCTCTCTGGTGGGGGGCCAGCAAGAGGATGCGCGCCCATCGCAGATGGAGACGCCCGGGGGGAAGGCCTCGGGGCTGCGACCACCAGCTGTCGAAGGCTTCGAGGGTGCGCCGCCAGATGACATCGAACGGGACGGCGTGGGCGAGCGGGCCGAGCATCCAAGATGCGTGGGTTCTGACATGCCACACGCATACCCTCGGAAGCAATCCACTAGTCGACCATTGAATAGTTCCCTGCTGAAGACCTGCAAGCGCCTTCTCCTCGACAGCGAAGCGGTACACCCGACGAGACCTCCGCCAGCCCCGTCTCCACGCACCCCATTCGGGGAAAGATCCCAGTCGACTCCCTGCAAGAAAGGCAGCCCATGTAATCTCAAGTACTCAGCCAGTCGGTAGTACCGTTGCAGATTAGCCGATACGTACTCCTTAGCTGATTCCACGCAGACTGATCCAATGAGGAAGCCCCCAGGTATCCCCACGCCCACGTGAACAACCATAGACCACGAGCGCATGACCTCAAACCCTCGGTCTCCCCCAGGCCCACTGAGCGGCGGTGTGGGCACGTGAGGCCTCACAAAAATGGCCACGCCCGCGCTTGGCATGCCCGGGGGGGGGGGGGGGGCATGCGGCAGGGAGAGATATAGGGCGATCAACCATGAGAAACAGCCCGCCACCGAGCCCTGCACTGAAGTTCTCCATCCAGTCGCTGTTCATGCGCCAGCACAATCTGAGCATTCCCCGCACCTGTGGCCAAACACGCTTGACACGTAGTCCAGCAACTGCCGTTGTAGGTGACCAGCCCGATTGCTTTGCGTCTGGAACCTCGAGCCGCTCGACGTCCAACTGCCATTGTACTCCCAGGCTGCCGCTTCGACCGGCATGCCTTCTGCTCCTCGTGTGGTGCGAGACGCCCCGCTGATCTGCGGCGTTCCTGCCTGCTGCCCAGGCGTCGGCGCGGCGACTGGGGCGGTGGCTGGGGGCAGCGTCGGGCCACCAGCTGCAGGGCCCGCGGGAACCAGCGGCTGCGCCAGCTGCTGGGCGAGAGACTCCAAGAGCTTGGCGCCCACCACGTCTCGACTGGCCCCGCCTTGGACTGCCTGCTGCGCCTGCGCGAAGAGGCCCTGGAAGTGCGCGAGCGTCTGGCTGGGATCGCCCACTGGAGCGACTGGCTGCTGTCCCGCTGCTCGAGCTGTCGCCGCCACCGCTGCTGCGGCCACCGCTGCCTGGGCCTGCGCGACCTCCGCCTGGAGCGCCGACACGTTTGTGGCCAGGCTCTGCAAGCGACGTTGTCCCTCGTCCAGCTTCGCCTGGAGGTCAGTGACCTTCTGCTGCTGAGTCTCATGCTCCGCCTCCTTCGCTGCAACCCGATCCTTGGCGCTGCGCAGAAGATCGTCGGGCGCCATGTTGGCTCGGGCAGCTGCCTCCGCCTTGGCAAGCTCAGCCTTCGCCAAGGCCACCAGGGGGTTCTCGTCATGGTACAGGCGGCGCATCTGGCCGAGGGCCTTGCGACACTTGGCGTTGCCTCCTGCGCCCGAATCGGTGGACTCCGCGGTAGAGGCACTCGCATTGCCAGCGCCAGAAGCAAAAGCCCCGTCACCAGTGCCACGCGGACGCGAAGGCCTCCTGCTGCGACGCCTCGGCTGCTACTGTCGGTCCGCGTCGAGCGTGCGATCGGTGGGCCGCCCCTCACGATCACGCCCGCAAGCCCAGCACTCCGCGCGCGGTAGCCACACTCCCTGGACGCCTTGCAAGCCCAGACGTTGTCACCTGTGCCATGACAGCTGCAACTGCAGGTGGATGATCGCCGTGGTGTCCTGCCAGCAACTCCTGCGCAGCTCCAGCGCGCAGCAGCAATCGGGCGCTGGCCCTGTGCCGCCGCGAGCGCCGATGCCAGGCGGGGGAGGGCGTGCGCTCGCGGCGCGCACCGCCCGCGATGGCACCTCGCGCCGCCCGCCGCGGAGGGGGGGGGAGGAGGCTGGGGGTTCGGGTGAACGGGCCGCCCCAGACCCGCCTGCAGAACCACCTGGAGGAGGAGGAGGAGGAGGAGGAGGAGGAGGAGGAGGAGGAGGAGGAGGAGGAGGAGGAGGAGGAGGAGGAGGAAGGAGAGGAGGAGGAGGAGGAGGAGGAGGAGGAGGAGGAGGAGGGGGAGGGGGAGGGGGAGGGAGGGGGGGGGAGGGGAGAGGAGAGAGGAGGGGAGGAGGAGGAGGAGGAGGAGGAGGAGGAGGAGGAGGAGGAGGAGGAGGAGGAGGAGGAGGAGGAGGAGGAGGAGGAGGAGGCGGAGAGGAGGAGGGGAGAGGGGGAGGGGAGGGGGAGGGGAGGGGGGGGAGGAGAGAGGAGGAGGAGGAGGAGGAGGAGGAGGAAGGGGAGGAGGAGGAGTGGAGGAGGAGGAGGAGGAGGAGGAGGAGGAGGGGGAGGAGGGGGAGGAGGAGGAGGAGGAGCGAGGAGAGGAGGAGGAGGAGGAGGAGGAGGAGGAGGGAGGAGGAGGAGAGGAGCGGAGGAGGAGGAGGAGGAGAGGGGAGGGGGAGAAGGAGGAGGAGGAGGGGGAGGGGAGGAGGACTTGGAGGAGGAGGAGGAGGAGGAGAGGAGGAGGAGGAGGAGGAGGAGGAGGAGGAGGAGGAGGAGGAGGAGGAGAGAGGGGAGGAGGGGGCGTAGGAGAGGAGAGGGGGAAGGAGGAGGAGGAGGAGGAGGAGGAGGAGGAGGAGGAGGAGGAGGAGGAGGGGGCGTCCAGACGTGTTCGGCCGCTGTGTCGGGCTTTCGGACCTCTGGGGGCCTCTGGGGTCCAGGCTCCAGGGCGGGGAAGCAGCGCTGGTGCACGGGAAGGAGCTGACCCACGCCGGCGGGCGAGCGACCTGCCGGCCAGTCTCTCGAGCACTCGGCGCCCCTCCCCTGTTTGGGAGACCCTGGAGAGGCAGGAGGCAGGAGGAGCACGAGCCGCAGGACAGGCGGGCGCAGACGAGGAGGAGGAGGAGGGGCGCGGAGGAGGAGGAGGAGGAGGAGGAGGAGGAGGACGAGGAGGAGGGGCTAGGAGGAGGAGGAGGAGGAGGAGGAGGAGGAGGAGGAGGAGGAGGAGGAGGACGAGGAGGAGGGGCTAGGAGGAGGAGGACCTCCCCCGGCCCCCATCTACGGTCAGGAACTCTTGCTGAGCGTGCCGCGGCGGCGGCCCCCGCGTCACGCCACGCCCTGCAGGCTGATGGCGTGTCGCTCTGCTTCGTGGGACGGGAGGCCAGGAGAAGCTCGGAGCGCTGATGCTCGAGGACTGGGCCCTGCTCCGCGTGTCGAGACAGGGGGTGCGGCGAGCCAGAACCGGCGGCCAGACACGGGAAGCAAACGCTCCTGACCGTGTCCTCCCGCGCCTGCCTGCTTGCGGTGGTGCTCCCAATCCTCCCACCGATCCCGCTGCTCCTTCCGCAAACTGTTCCTGCTCTGGCGCTCCCGTCTCTCCGCCTGCTCGTGCACCCCGGCTCTGCAGTGGCGTGCCCCCTCCGAGCGCAGCTTCCTGCCTTGCCCGGCGCCCCGGCTGGCTGCCATGCCGCTCCAAAGGCCACGTCTACATGCCAGGCTTGTACAACAATGGGTACAGCGGAGAATGGCAGACAGATCTAGAATGCCACACGTGTCTACATGCCTAGCATCTTCGAACTTGTTCAACAAGACGAAAGCGCTTGGCCCGGCGCAATACTCCATCCGCTGCACAGAGGCTTGCGACATGGAGGCCTACTTGAAATGATGACAAATGCCCGCCACGCTGGCATAGGCAAGAGCCTGCTGAATCCACCAAGGCTGTCACCACTGCAGCGTGCAAAGTTGCCCCTTCAGTGCTCTGAGCACTGTGGGCATGTGAATTCAATAAGCGACCGCCTATGAGAGATCGATGGGAATTATTTCGCCTGCCACAAGCGATGCCTAATTCGCCCGAGCAGGAGAAGTCTCGATGGCTCTGCGAGTCAGGGGATCTTCGTCCGATGTGGCGATGCGGCCCTCCTCCTGCATCTCCTCCTCCTCCTCCTCCTCCTCCTCTTCATCCTCCTTCTCCGCCTCCTGGGAGATCGACCACCACTCGTCGGACAAGGAGGGGAAGGACGTCAAGAAGGGGAAGGGCAAGCGCAAAACTAGCAAGAAGAGGAAGGCGGCACCGTGAGAGGGAACCTGCAGTGAAATAGGACCCACGGGCTCGCGATGCCAAAGAGGACCCCACAGGCGCAAACCTGGCATAAGAAGTCTGAGGGCAGCGGAAAGCATGGGATCTGAGGGGGAACTCTAGCGTACCGAAGGAGGGACCACAGGGGGGTCTCTTCTAGGTAGGCCACGACAGGATCGAGCTACTGGTGCGGAGACCGTAGCAAGCATGCTCAAATTCGGGACAAACGTACCAGACACGAACCAGAGTACCGGAACTCTGACAATCAGAAACGGCATTTCGATGTCAAAGTTGGCGCAGGTCACTCTCCAGAGCTTCGCCAAAGCGATGTGCGATCAGGTGGGTACGATCAACGCAGTGCTGAAGGAGGCGCAGGAACAGAAGCTAAACGCTGCATGGACGCTCACCAAGACGACGGCGCAGAAACAGGACAGCCCGAACGCCAGTGAGGAGCAGACAGCAGCAAACATCGTCACGCTCAACAGCAACAGCAAGAGGCTCGACACAGTCATCGAGGACGTGCTCAAGAGAAGGGGCCTCACGCTGGAAGCGAGTACACGGCGAGGAGGGCACGCCAGCGCCGGACGCGCACGTCGCGAAGGGGGACGTCGAGGGCGTCGAGCAGAGCCAGGACAAGGGCAAGCAGTGTCGGAGGAGAGCCTGCACACTGTGCGGGCCGCAGGAAAAGGGCCTCAGCGGGGGCCAGACGAGCCCCACCTCCGCCCAGCAGGCAACCGACCGGGAGGGCCCAGAGCATCAGGAGAGCCACAGAGAGCTCAAAGGCTCCTACAGGGCAGGTTTGAATACATAGGATTTTCAAACATATAGGATGTTTAATACATGATGAAGTCATGAAAAAATGCATGCGTGAACTCATCGAGGTGTTTAGCACTGAACCACTGCATGTTTAGTACATGACCCGCACGCGGAGCATTTAATATATATATATATATATATATATATATATTCATATATATACATATATAATAATATAATAATAATAGTAATAATAATACTATGAAAAATATTATTAATAATAATAAGATTAATAATAAAAATAATAATAACAATAAAAATAGCATTATTAATAATAAGAACAATAATAAGAATAATAATGAACATAATAATAATAGTAATAATAATAGTAGCAACAACAATAATAATGATAATAATAATAATAACAACAATAACAATGATAATGATAATTTGTTTGAAACAAAAAATGCACTCTGCCTCTCGGCGGCCCCCCCAAGAGAAGAGCAGAGCGCCGAGCCGACGGCACGAGGCGCGGGGCCCGAGGGCGGGGCGGATGCCCCGCCCCCGAGAGGGCCCTCGGGAGCTCCTGCAGGAGAGCGCGAGGCAGGGCCTGCCAGACTGCGTGCCACGCCCTCGCCTCGAGCGGCAGTGCCCCGCGCGCTGCTCGGCGTCGTGCGCGCACGTTTTTTGTTGTGTCGCGCGAGGGCCAGGACTGCTCTTTCAGGAGGGGAAAAAAACACACAGACACAATGATTCGTCGACTCCCAGAGAAAATATGCGCAAATCTGGGAAGTGGGGGGGAAGGCAGAAACCCAGAAAACATGGGAAAGGATGGGGAACCGTTTTATTCGTGTGTCTTTATTTGTGTGTCCCAGGGCCACTTCATGCTTCTCGATGGCCCTTGCCGAGGAGCACGCACACGTCCGAGCGGTGCCAAGAGGCTGGCCCCAAGATGGCCAGAGGATCTCGCAGAGGTGGCCCCAGAGATGATCCAGGACAGCCCCAGTGAGCAGGCACGGACAGACCACGACGGTGGCAGGGCCACTCCCCGGACGCGCTTGGGATGGCCGGGAGTCGCGGAAAACGAGACGAGCATGCGCTCTGCCGTGTGTTGTGCCTTCCTGCCTGTGCTACGGGGAGAAAACACACCTACCTCGCTTTTGACCACCCTCGCTTCCAAGAGATACCAAGCGATGCCAGACTACAGCCCGTACTGGTCGGGTCGCTTGACGAGGAGGCGCGTGGTATGACTTGGATTTTCCTGGAAGCGAAAACGGGGTAGGTAATTCACGCTCTGATGTGCGGGCTTCAGTGGTCTTCTCGGGCCCCGAGGCGGCCACACGGGGGGCACAGGAGAGTCCCGAGAGGACCCACAGGCCCCCGATGGCCCCAAGGGCGCTCCAAGAGAGCCCCCCAGAGGGCCCAAGAAGGACCCCAACAGCGGGGGTCCAGCGGGGGTCAGTGGGAGGCTGGCCCCGAGATGGCCCCCAAAACAGCCCGGAGAGGCCCCAAGATGGCCCGCATTGGGGTGGCCATGACGCATGTGCGCGGCGCCGCGGCGAGAGCGGCAGCGCAAGAACGGCCTGTGCTCCAGGCCTGCCCACACGTCTGGTGGTGCGACGGCTGTGTTTTATGACCTGGCGATGCGACGAAACCTTCCTGGGGAGGAGAGATGGAAGAGGCACGTGGGACGGTCTCGGCTGCTCCCCTTCCCCCATCCCCTCCGCTCGCGCTCGCTCGCTGCGGTCGGACCCCGGGACAGAAGAACGCCCTCCACGAGCATGAGACCCTTTGGCCGGCCAAGCTGAAGGGCATTCGAGGGTACCTTCCTCCGAGATGCACGAGAACATCCCAGGGTCCAGACTTTTCAGGACGGCGTCCCTGGAAGTCCCGACCCTCTCCCCGGGGTCGGTTCTTCGTCCTGGGTGGTTTTTTGACGGTCCCGAGGCCCGGCGAGGGCCCCCCCGGGCCAAGAATGGCCAAACACCTCCCGCCCTGATCCTTGTACGACGCGATCACGTCTGGGGCCCCCCGGGATGCACGAGAGCATCCGACGAGCACGAAGCACACGAGGCTGCCCTCCCCGAACCGGCCTCGGCCCCGTGCCTCGGGCCGACGGCGCGCCCAGGGAGCGGCAGCGGCCCGCCCCGGCGGCGAAGTGGCGCGCTGTGCGCGCCAGGGCGCGTCGGACGCGGCCCGGCGAACGGTCGCGCCGAACTCGGCGGCGCGCACGAGGGGGGCGGGGGGAGGGGGGCCCGGGGGAGGGCCTCTTCGAAGGAGGCTGCTTCTTGGAAGGCGCTGGCCACACTAGGGGGCCACATGCGAACCCTACCCCTACCCCCCACGATTTCTGAGGGGGAGGGTGGGGTTCACTTCGCTCGGGAGCTCCCGAGTGACGTGACCCCACCCTCCCCCTCAGAAATCGTGGGGGGGAGGGGGAGGGTTCGCATGTGGCCCCCGACTCACATCTGTAGACGAGGCCCGCGCCTCCTGAGAAGCATAGGGGTGCCGCTAGGAGGCCCCCCCCCCCCTCCCTCCACCCCCCTCTGCGCGGGGCTGCCGGACGTTCTGCGCGCGGGCAGGAAAAAATTGCCTGGAACAGTGGCCAGGGTCAGACAAATTCTGCCCAGGGGGCAGCACTTTTCGGGGAGACGTAAGACTCGGGTACGGGGGACTCGCGTGGGCCTGACGGGGGCCATCGTAAAAATGACGAGACCGCATCTGAAATGTGACGCGGGCTCCCGCTGCAGACACCCCACGAAAACGGGACCGTCAAAATCCAGGGCGCGCTCGTCAAAAAAAAGTCGGCAAACCCGAGGTCTGGCTCACTCGGGTCTTACGCTTCCCCGAACTTTGAGCTGCCAAGGGGCTGCTCGGGCCTCGAACGCACAGGCAGTGTAACGAGCGAGGGGGGCGAGGGGCCAACAGGGTACGAGCTTCTTCCATATATCCTCCTCTCCCTCCTGATCTACATTCTCGTCATTGCCCTCATTCTGGGGCCACCGTTTTCCTCCCCTTGTTCCTCATCCTGTGTCCCTGCTCACAGCGCACACCGTCAGAGGCGGCGGAGAGCTTGAGAGATCCACCTACCAAAAATTCCCCCCCCGTCATCTCTCCAGCTCCCATCCTTCCGCGAGCCACGACCTTGCTTGGTCTGCCACCTCTCGCTGCGCGAGCGTCTCTCCTCACCCCGCACCGCTGACTGAAGCTGAGGAAGACTCGACCCCAGGCAGGTTGCATTCCCACCCTTTGGGTAAAACACACACAGTCTGTGGGTGAAAACAACACACTGAGGGTAAAAAACAATGGGTAAAAACACACAGTGGGTAAAACAACACACACAGTGGGTATAACAAGCACACTGTGGGCAAAACACAAACAAAACACACACAGTGTGTGTATGTTGTGTGTTGTGTGTGTTGTGTTGTGTGTGTGTTGTGTGTTGTGTGTGTGTTGTGTGTGTTGTGTGTTGTGTGTTGTGTGTTGTGTGTGTGTGTTTCTGTGTGTGTGTTTCTGTGTGTGTGTTTCTGTGTGTGTGTGTGTGTGTTTCTGTGTGTGTGTGTCTGTGTGTCTGTGTGTCTGTGTGTCTGTGTGTCTGTGTGTCTCTGTCTCTGTGTGCTGTGTCTCGTCTGTGTGTCTGTGTGTCTGTGTGTCTGTGTGTCTGTGTGTCTGTGTGTCTGTGTGTCTGTGTGTCTGTGTGTCTGTGTGTCTGTGTGTCTGTGTGTCTGTGTGTCTGTGTGTCTGTGTGTCTGTGTGTCTGTGTGTCTGTGTGTCTGTGTGTCTGTGTGTCTGTGTGTCTGTGTGTCTGTGTGTCTGTGTGTCTGTGTGTCTGTGTGTCTGTGTGTCTGTGTGTCTGTGTGTCTGTGTGTCTGTGTGTCGTGTGTGTGTGTTTTTTCCCACAGCGTGTGCTTGTTTCCCACACACTGTGTTTTTTGTTCCCACAGACGCTTCTCCCCGCAAGACTTGGGCTCGTTGGAAGCTGGCCCCGGCGGCCAGACCCCTGCTGGGTGGAGGAGAAGACGTATCTCCGACATGGAACCGCGGCCGACCCGGCTATACGCGCAAAGAGTGACCCTGGGCAAGAGTGACCTCTGGTGCGCGGCTCTTGGGGGTGCCGCTGGGGGACCAAGCACAACCGCGCAAGGCGTTGCTGCTGCATCGCGTTCGGCGGTCTGGGGACCAATTTTAGGGGAACAACAAGTGACATAAACATAAAAATTCGGAGGTCCGCGCGGATTTCTCGGATCGGCGCTGGACCCCCCTCCCTGGCGCGCGGGGCGCGCCAGGGGCGGCGCCGGGGGCGCCGCTGGGGGGCCCCAGCGCGGATCCGAGGAATCCGCGCGGACCTCCGAGTTGTTATGTTTATGTCACTTCTTGTTCCCCGCAGCAAAGGCCACTCCTGCGAAAGGTCACTCCTGCGAAAGGTCACTCCTGCGAAAGGTCACTCAATTTGTGCCCGCACAAAAGGCCCCTCCTGCGAAAGGTCACTGACTCGCGTCTGGTCGACGGACCCGCCGCAGACGGCAGGGTCGTGCCGCCCGGCGCCTCCAGACGCCTCGCAGAGGGCTCCAGGAGGCCCCTCCTGGAGGCCACGAGAGTTCAGTCGGGCCTGTCCCCCTACAGGCCGATTTTGGACGATGAATAAAGAGTACCCCACAAATGCCCCAAAGTAATCAAAAAATGCTCAAGAAATAGTCCCCAGACCATTTTTTTCAAATTTTTGCATCTCCCCCCTGTAGAGGGACAGGCCCGACTTAACACGAGAGGCCCTCGGGCCCCCAGGAGATCAGAAACCGACGACGTCCGAAAAAGCGGGACGGGAAAACGACGTCCGACGACGTCCAGGAGATGCGAAAACGACGACGACGACGTCAGAAAACGACACGACCCCCCCCCCTCCTCCTCCGAGGGACGGGGCGGTGCGAGGCACCCAAGCTGCTGGCCGGCGCCACAGCAAGAATCCATCCGAAGTGCCCTGCTCCTGGCGGGTGGCGCAGCAGAACTAACTGTCTCCGCCATCGCCAGGAAGATGGCCTCTAGAACGTCTAGAACCCTCCCGAGTGGGGTCCGAGCGGATGGGCCTGGCGATCGCGGCGCATCGACGATGCATCGCCGTTGCAACGACGATGCATCAGCGACGTCGGTGGCCTAAAAGGCCCTGAAAACCACAGGGCCATTTTTTACCGATTGCGTTTTGCCGTTTTCTTGCCGGTTCCGTCGTCGTTATCTTGCCCGTCCCGGCTCCGTTTCCAATCCTTTAGGCGTTTTTGTTGCCGTTTCTTGTAGCATTTTTTTGTACCGCTTCCACTTTCAAGAGACACTTTTTCGAAAACGGTGAAAAAAAACAACCCTGCTGCTTCCGGGGCCCACTAAGGTCGGCGATGCATCAGCGACGTCGGCGCGGAGAAAACCAGGCTGCACACTAAGCCGAATGGAGTAACATCGGACTCCTCCGACCCCGACCCATCTGCTCGGGCCCCAAATTGGAAGCAGGGAGGCCTCCGGCTTCCCAACTGATGGGAAGAGGACGCCAAAACGCTCCGCGCCCCCGACGTGTCACAGGTATCCCGTGTGCGCCATGGCCTCTGGTGTCGCGGGCTGCCTGGGGCCTGGCGGGCGGCGGCGCGGAAGACGAGGGAGGGGAAGCCAGGCGGCGAGAGAGAGAGAGAGAGAGCCCGAGCAGGGCCACGAAGAAGGCAGTACAGATTCCCCCAACGGCGGTCTTTGCATCTAGGGGCTCTTGCCTGGCTCTCTTCGATCATCAAAAGGGTTCCCCAAAAAGATTCTGCATGTCAGCGCCCGTGCTGGCTGTGGGCGCATCGTGGGCGCCCCGCGCGCTGGGGTTAGGTCGGGCGTGCCCCACTACAGGCGGATTTCGGAGGAGAAGTACGAACCAGCCTAAAAACATGCTAAAAAGAGTCAAACGTTGTCTGCTCGACACTTTTTTGCTTTTTTTCTTCCAGCGAGCGGGGGCCCAGTGGCAGAGTGCGGGGGGACGACGCGACACGACGACGAGAACGGCGGACGACAGACGAACGACGAGCGCCCGGGCCGGGAGGGGGAGGGACGATGGGGAGGGAGGAAGGCAAAAGAGGTGCGCCGGCCCGCGCGGAGCTTGCTCCACGCACTCCACAAAAGGTTGCAATGCTGAGCTGTCACTAGCGTGCAACGCACAGTTCACACCACACGGCTCACATCACAGAGCTTACACTACATCGAGGACACGACATCGCTTGGATTCTTTAGCCATCACCGCACAACTCACACTGTGCACACAAAACGACATAGCACGTAGCTCACACCACAAAGCTTGCGCAACATATATCACACCACATAGCTTACACAACTTGTCGTTCGCACCCAACTTGGAGTAACTCACACTTCGTGGTCCAGGCTGGCTAACATGTAACTGGATATGCTTGTTCATCGATGTTTGCTTTCAACGGTGTTCGGTAACAGATCGCTCCGTCTGCAGTGCTCGGGCGATACGAGGGGCCCGTTTTCTTGTTCCTCCTCCTCCTCATCCTTGTTGTCACTCTCCTACGTCTCCTCGTCCTCCTCCTCCTCCTGCTCCCTCTCCTCCCTCTTCTCCCACTCCCCACTCCCCATTCCTGTTCCTTAGAAATGAACTCCTCGCCACTCCCCATTCCCCTCTCCTCCCTTATTCTCCCTCTCGCCACTCCCCATTCCTGCTCCTCAGAAATAATAAGCCCTCACTGTCGCACACCCGGCGTGTCGGCAAGGCGGTCCCGGGCGTGTCGCCTGAGGCACCCTCACCACCTACGACCCAGAGGTTTGAAACTCACAGCAGTTTCACTGAGGGAGGGGGGGGTCTGTTCGCAGAATGTTCCTCTCGCCGTGGCGCCGCGCATACTCGTCTGAAAAGCTTGCCTGGCCATCGCTCGGACGTCCATTCCCTATGTTTTTGTCGGTTTCGTGCGTGGTTTTTTCGCCAAATGATCAAGGATGCTCCTCGATGGTCCTCGCCGAGAGAAACATGCACGCGTCCGAGCGATGCCAAGTTGCACCATCTATACTGATGGCGGGCTGATGGAGGACGGTGCTTCAAGATGTGGCTCTCGCCCGAGCGCTGCGCACCATCGTCCCAAACAGTTCGCAAACTCCCCACGGATGGAGGATGATGTTCAACATGTTGCTCTCGCCCGAGCGCTGCGCACACTCGCCTGCAACGTCTGCACCTGCTTCACGGCTGGAGGCTGGAGGGGTGGAGTGGCTTTCGAGATGTGGCCGTCGCCTCAGCGCCTCGCACATTCGCTCCAATCGTTGGCAGCACTCTCACTGAATGGTAATTACCCTCGCCTTGAAACCGCGCGTGTTTTGTTGCGCTGTTGTAACCATTCGGGGCTGCTTCGCGGATGGGGGGGGCTCCTTTGCAAGCTGGGGTCCTCGGCTCGGCGCCGCGCGCTTCCTCCGGAGCGGGGAGACCGCGGGACACCCCGCGGAACCGAATGGTTTGGTTTCTCTCGCGCTCCTGCCCACGTGCCAGACAGAGATGCAGGGCAGCTCCGCTTCAGAGCGGGGCCCTCGCCTCACATGGCAGGCCCAACCGTCCTGGTCTCTCCAAGGGGGGGGCGCAGCTTGCAGTGAGAAAAGGAAGGCTTCTGGGAGCGTCTGAAGGGGGGACTTGGGACGGGAGGGTGTACGGCAGCACCGGTTACGCACCTTTGGTTCAGCCTGGTTCTCCTCCTCCCCTCCTCCTCCTCCTCCTCCTCCTCCTCCTCCTCCTCCTCCTCCTCCTCCTCCTCCTCGTCCTCCCTCTTCCTCCGCATCTGTCTCCTCCTTCTGCTGCTGCTCCCCTGCCTCCTCCCTCTGCTCCTCCTCCTGCTCCTCCTCTTCCCCCTCGTCCTCTTCTTCCCCCTTCCCTCTTCTCCCGCTCCCCCTCCCTCCTCCTCCCACCTCCTCATTCCCCCCTTCTTTACTATGAACCTCTTCCGGTCGCACCACCAAGCGTGTTGGTAGGGCGGCCAGGACGGTTTGCCTGAGACCTGAGGCCGCTTCTAGCCTTCTCCCTCCCCTGGATGTCGATAAATGCAGCCGCCATGTCATCCAGCAGCGCTTGCACGCAGGGTTTCTGACTTGCCTCTCTTCGGCCATCGGCTGGGCCTGTTGGCATTTCCGCGCCACGCTGCCGCCCGTGCCGCCCCGTGGGCGCCCCGCGGGTGCCCCGCGCTTGGTGGGGTGTGCCGCGGCTGCGCCACGTAGCCGCCCGTGCCGCCTCGTGGGCGCCCCGTGGGCGCCCCGCGCTTGGTGGGGTGTGCCGGGTGTGCGCCGCGTAGCCGCCCGTGCCGCCTCGTGGGCGCCCCGCGGGCGCCCCAGCGCTCTGGGGGGTACGTCAAGGCTGCGCCGCGCTGCCGCCCGTGCCGCGTCGTGGGCGCCGCGTGCCGTGAGCTTGTGCGGCGCACCGCGCAGCTCACGGCGCGCAGCTTGCGCCGCCTGGCTCTCACAACGTAGCGAACGGCACATCGAGTGCACCCCAGAGCCTTCACCTCCAGCGCAACCCGCATTGCATACACGAGATAGCTTACACCACACAGCTTGCACCCCGCAGTTAGAACCCCCATAGCTCGTTCCGCAGAGCTTGCAGGCCGCATAGTTCTCACACCCACACCTCGCGCCACACAGCTCACTGAGCATAGCTTCCACCACATAGCTTCCACCACATAGTTCCCACCCCACAATGCAATGACGCACTGGTTGGGCTCCACGTTGCCGCACATTAACGAGTGGGAGGGAAGAGACGAGGAAAATAACAATTCTGGAGACTACAGGGCGCCTTCTGAAGGCCATACCTGCTTTCCAAGGATGTTCGGCGGCGGCGGGAGGGATCTGGAGGGGGGCGACGAGTACACGGAAGAGCATCAGGACCAGTACTGGCTGGATAATGGCCGATTTCTCATCGTCCCCCTACCACATCTGTGTAGATACAGGCATTCCTCGTCGTATCGTACAGGTGTGGATGTCCCTCGCCTTATCATATGTTTCCTCCAAATGTTACCTATGTATGTGTATATATGTGTGTGTGTTTACTCATCGTCTGAACATGCTCCTCCTCCGCCTAGTCATCCTTCACCTTTCAGCCGTCAACCATCAAACACCACTCATCATCATTGTGGTCGTCGCCGTCGAAGTCATCGCCATTACTATCACAATCGTCACAATAGTCATCACCACCCAGAGCGTGCTCACAGTCCTGCCCCTTCTGCGTACCATCATCGTCAAACCTCCTCCTTATCCTCCTCCCCTCGTCTTCATCCTCCTCCTTCTCCTCCTCCTTCTCCTCCTTCTCCTTCTCCCGTCCACCTCTTTCTCTCCTTCGTGCCCCACGTCCTCCTCCTCCTCCTCCTCCTCCTCCTCCTCCTCCTCCTCCTCTCCTCCTCCTCCTCCTCCTCTCCTCCTCCTCCTCCTCCTCCTCCTCCTCCCCCCCAGCATACCAACCTTCTCCACCCACGTAACCCCTCTCCCGGCACACTTACCTTCCCCTCCCCCGTCCCCTTCCTCTAAGGGACCTGGAATCGGCGATGCGCGGCCGATGGATCGGCGATAAGCCCCCCCACAGCGCAACCGTACCTCCCTGGGCGGGGTGGGCTCTCGGGCCCTGCCGGCGAGCAGTGGACGACGGGGGGCCGATGCGTTCCCGCTCCGCAGATCCCCCCCTGACCTTGCCACTGATCCTCTCCCCCCCTCCCGTCGTGTTCGTGGCGGAGGTCGCTTTGCTCTGCCTGCTCTCAGAGCTCAGGTCTTGGCGCCCGAGCCGAACGTCCGTACCAGTGTTGCCTTCCTCGGTCAGCGCTTGCTGCGCACCGATTCGGATCCGGCTCCATGTTTTACGGGTGCCGCCCTCGTGTCTGAGTGCCGCCCACATGCCTGGCAGGTGCTGGAGCCGAATCGGCTGCGCAATCCAAAATACGTTCCCTTCCCTCCCCTCCCCCCTGGCCATCCTGGCTTCCTGACCTCGGGCGCAAGCCGCGGTGGTCCCCAGCCCCCCGGACACAAGGGCCCTGCGCTGCGACAGAGGGTGCGCGCAAGGCGTGCTGCGGGCGGCACTGGTCCGAGCTGCGCGATCGACTGGCAGGCCCTGGGGGCACGAGGACTCACCTCACTGCCTCTCCTTGAAGCGGGCGACGGGGGGGGCACTCAGAGAGTCAAAGGGGAGGGCTTTGCGCATCAGCTTCCGCAGCTGACGTCTCCGGCACCTCCCGGCGCACGAGGCGCCAGTGCATCTGCGAGAAGCACGCGGCGGCGTCGGCGAAACCAGCTGCACGCAGCAGACTTTGCAGCCCACGCTTCCCAGATCCCCCCCCTTCGTCCGACCCGATCTCACCTTTCCGCCGGGGGTTCTTGGCAGACCCCGTGCGCCGCGGGTTCCCCGGAGGCCTCTCCCTCCCCGGGACCGGCTGCTCATCCCGAGTTCGAGGATCTATACTGGCCCAGGTCAATCCAGACCCGCCCCAATCGGGCCCTGCAGGATCCTTCCTGATCCTGCAGGAGCCTGCGCAGAAGCCCGGGTCAGTGCAGCCCTGGCTCTGCAGGATCCTGCAAGATCCAGCGATCTGGCTGACCCGAGGAGGAAGAGGGAGGAGGAGGAGGAGGAGGAGGAGGAGGAGGAGGGAGGAGGAGAGGAGGAGGAGGGAGGAGGAGGAGGAGGAGGAGGAGGAGGAGGAGGAGGAGGAGGAGGAGGGAGGAGGAGGAGGAGGAGGAGGAGGAAAGGAGGATGGAGGAGGAGGAGGAGCAGGAGAGGAGGAGGGAGGAGGAGGAGGAGGAGGGAGGAGGAGAGGAGGAGGAGAGGAGGAGGAGGAGGAGGAGGAGGAGGAGGAGGAGGAGCCGTTTGCATTGACCCCCGTCTCCTCAGCCCTGGCGAGTCCTTCTGTTGACGGTCAGGGGCCTGGCCAACACCCCTGGGAGGCCGAGAACCGCCCAGAGCCTGACGTCGTGATCTTGATGCACGACGGGACTCCGTCCTCCTACTCCTCCTCCTCCTCCTCCTCCTCCTCCTCCTTCTCTGGACCAGGCCTGGATTGCGCTCGGGCCAAAATTTCGAGGCGGGTTCAGCCATGGCGGCGAGGGCGCCGCAGGAAGCCCGACACGGGCAACCTCCTCCTCCTCCTCCTCCTTCTCTGGACCAGGCCTGGATTGCGCTCGGGCCAAAATTTCGAGGCGGGTTCAGCCATGGCGGCGAGGGCGCCGCAGGAAGCCCGACACGGGCAACAATCTCGAAGCTCGATCCTCGAACCTTCTTCGGGCTTCGAGCTGTGGACAGTGCAAAGCGATGAGGCCCCAATGCCCTCGATGCCCCTACCAACTGGCGGTGGCTGGTGGGAGGGAAGCGAAAAGAAAGCCGAGAGACAAGAGAGAACAGAAGGGACGACCGAACGCTGGGACCTCTGAAGTACCCCCCAAGGGAGGGGGAGGGAGTGAGACCCTCGAACCTCCTTCTCCTCCTCCTCTTCCTCCTCGCCCTTGCGTCCCCCTCCTCTTCCCCCCTCCTCCTCGCGGCACGATCTAGCCTGAGACCAGCGCCTGGGTGTGCCC